CATGCACGCACGTCACGTCACGCCGACCGGCCGTCCCGCTTTCACGGGCAGCGCACAGGCCGGATCCGCGTGTCTAGGTATGCCACACGTCGGCTCTTGACCGTCGACACACGAGGCGCTGACGACGCCGTCTTCTAGGCTCCCGTGCGAGGCTTTGTCGGGCAGCACACCCTTGCCTGCTGTGTGCGCGGCGCGCGCAGCGCGGTCTGCAGTACCGCGCATCGTGTTCTGTGCGCGCCCGGTATGCCGTCTCGGCGCGTGAGTAGCGGGCTGCGATGTGTGCGCTAGTGAGGACGCGGGGATCGCGCGTGACCGCTCACGACGATACGCTGCCTGCTGGCGTCCGTGTCGTGCGCGGGGGGCCGGCATGATGACATGAGAATAAATAGGTAGTGTTGCAGCATGTATGATGTACTTGTCGTGGGGCTGAGACGACGGCATCGAGAGGAGCAGGGGGCGGCGCACGATACGGCGTGGAGGGGAGGGAGTGACGATGAGCGATGCAAGAAATGAAGAATGCATTTGCCTTGCTTCACAGAGTGTCGCCCTGAGAGCTGTTGAGTGAGCCCGCTGAGCGCCCGTCCTGGGCAGTCACGTCGCGCGGCGGTGAACGTCGTAGGCAAGGCAGATACGAGAGGGAGCGCGGCGCACCGGTGGAGTGTGACGCGCGGCATTCGTGACGCTCGCCTGGCCGGACATGCACTCGTTCTCGCTATCGCTGTGGACGCAGGCCGGTCAGTGGCAAGAGTCGCGCGTGCCGGCGTGTGCTCACAGCGCGCACCGAGACGCCGCCGAGTGGCGCGGTGAGTAGGATGCGAGAGCGTGTGCGCGTCGGCGGCGCACACGCTGACCGGGCGGGGCGCAGGAGTCGCTGTACGCACGTAGCGTCGAGTTGGCCCGTGCCATCATCGAATCTCGCCCCTCGCGCGCGCGGACTGCATGCTCTGGAGGTGAGAGCAAGGTGGACGCGCTGACCGGGGGAATGACCAAGGCGACGTCTGTGAGAAAGGCGGTTGGCGGGCACGCGAGGAGGCCGCGAGCGTCCGTGACGCTGCAGAGGGCGTCGGGAGCGAGACTCTTGACCATCCGAGAGATGCGATGGGTCGACGGCCGGGCGCGATTGCAGATGCGACGGGAGCCCGCTCAAGACAGACGGGCAGAGCCATGGACGTAGAAGTCATGGACGGGCACAGGTCAGATGAGAATATGCTAGGGACAGGTGCGTACATGGGCAGCGGCGACGATTCGAGCGCGACGGCTTGGAAGATACAACGGACAGGCGACGTCATCACCATCCTACACTCACCGTGTCCCGGCCGTCAGCGCGGTCACATAAAAGAAGGTGGTGTCGATCGATGGCTCAGTCTTGCGATACGATCGTTTATTATCCGTATACTTGGCTCAATCTCCCCATCCCCATCAAGCACGCTCTACGTATACAATCGCTCTTCGTACATCGTCTGGTTCGCACCGTGCCCTGCACCCAAGAAACGCGAAGCAATCCGCCCTACGTCAAGCCCCCCTGCTTCAAGATCTCCTCACCGTCATTTGACCCTGCATTACCGCCCGTTTTGGGCATGGAGAATCCACCGTTAAAGTCCAGGCGCAACAGCAGGCGTTCCACGTGTCGGCGAACCTCGTCGTCCCCTTCGAGGCGCCGTCCTCGCTTCGGTCGGAGGAATGTGTGGAAGCCAGTCGTGTTCGCCATGCTCACGCTATATAGCACCGACTTTGACGCGTCCGCAGTCGCCGAGAACGGCTGCTGTGTCGTGGACAGCGAGAGCTGCTCGTAGAATGTTCCAAGCAGCGTGTGCAATGTCTAGCACGAACGTTCGTCAGCTATGTTCTCCGTGCGCTCAATATAGCCTCGTGCACATACCTCATTGACCTCTGCGACGATGACTTTTCTTTCCTTGACCATCTTGCCCACATCGCCACCGCCAGCCAGACTACCTTCGGACAAGAGCTCAGGTAGAATGTCTCCACCCCATCTCTCGGCCTGCGCGACAAATCGCTCACAGGTCTCGAGAATCATGCGAATGATGGCTGTCAGCGGAGGGTTGGACAGCAAGCTGCCTGTGATCAGACGTTCGAGGTAGGTCGTATGAATGTTACGCAGCGTGGTAAAATCGAGGCTGGTTGATCCGGCGTTCGAGGAGCTACTCTGTGACGCAGGCAGGGTAGACGCAGAATGCGAAGCCTCGATCTGTCCGTCAGCTCCCTCGCTGCCAGGCGCCGGAATAGACTGGCCGCCGGTCGCGTGCTTCACGACGTCCGACGTCTTCTCGAGCAGCATCCCCTTGAGCCTCCTGAACTCCACATCCACAACGTCTGTCATCACATATCCCAGCAGCGTGTCCAGGAACCAGCTCATCTCGCGCACGACACCCCACCCGCAGCGCAGCAGCTCCTTGCGCGCGTTCAGATCCTCCTCGGTACCGCCCTCGCCGAGCCCTGTCCAGCGCCGCCGCGCCCGCTGTGCGTTCGAGAGCGCGGTCCAGCATGTGTGGACGCGTGTGTGTGTCTTGCGCAGTGCAGAGAGGTATGCGAAGAGCGCACCGTACGCCTGCAGGTCCGACGTGTGCAAGAAGAGATCGAGCGGCCACGAGACGCTGTATGCGAGCACGAGCGGCGTGCCGAGAAGGAGGTCGTCGA